GTAAGCGCGTTTTTAAAACGAATTCGCTGAAATTTGGTACAATGGGTTCTTATTGGGTACCAAATTTCCTCACTAAAATTTATAAATATAGGCCCCTTTTTCGGGTATTTTAGAGTTCTTGAGCGAACTTGCTGTAATTTGGTATTTTGTAGTCGCATATGGCAACAAATCGTACCCAAAATTATTCATATTCACCCCCTTTTAGAGTAGTTCCCATATAACCCCCTTTATTATAATAAAATAGTTTGCTGATTAGTTCCGAGTGTAGGGGTTGTCCCCATATAGGCGTATTCTACCATAGTTTAGGGGATAATCGTTACTCGAAATAGTCAGTTTTACCCTACAAATTATGGAATTCTAAGATTCCATCGGTTCTAATCATTCCGCTTTCTAAGGAAATCTTGATAAAAAAAAACTCGAACCTGACGATAATGAAATATATCGGCCAGCATTTAGGCATCTTCCCCATATAAGAATTGAAAGAATTGAAACACAAAACAAAAATATTGGGTATAGCCCTCATATAATGATAACCCCAAATATTCGCTAATTCCTAAACTATGTAATCTAACATTGTCATCTAAATTGTAGTAGTTTGAGGATTGTAGTAGTTTGAGGATTCTACCATGCGTTATTAGTATCCACGCTTTGTGGTTTTCATTAAAAATTGCTGAAATTTGTATTTGGGGTACATAATGGTTTACAATAACCGGTTTCTAGAATTATCGGTATAGGTTCACTTTTTGGCATGTTCTCTATATTTTCATTTCAAGTATCTGTCAGTATACCTAACGTTTTTTCGCTTATTATATGCTCGCATTAACACTACAAAAAATGTGAAATGTACATGTTGTAGTAGTTGTATAGTAGTTATTAAATAATTCGCTGTTTTCTGTAATGGTGGTAATTTTTGTTTTCTTGAAACACAAATTTTTCGCAAAGTAACAACAAATCAAAAATTATAATGTCAATATTTTTTATCAATTTTACAATTTTATTTAAAGAAAACTATTAATTTTAATTTTGCTCTGAATATGTGTATAGTTGTGAAGATATATTTCACTCAATTTTCCTAATGACTGTAACTGAATATCACCTGATGCTGTTCTGAACACAAATTAAGCTAAGTTAATTTATAAACTTTTTCCTATTCCTTTTTAACTAACGAAGCAACCATATTTCTTGAGGGGTTTGCCTTTTGGTTGTGGTACCTGGTGTCAAACCTTGGTTATACATATTTTAAATGACAAACCATCAAAGCAAGCATGGTAGCGTATGACCTACAATACTTGGAAGGTGGAAAACATTAAACAATAAATCATACGCACCGTCGACCGCAATGTGATTACTTTCTCCTCCCTTTCTCACTAACACTCACGCTCAATTTTACTTATTTTCTTTTTTGCTTCATTGGCAATGTATTGTGGTGGTGGTATGTCTTCTAATAAATGTTAACGAAATAATTATTTAATAATGTTCAGCTGTACGGTGGTTTGCTTTGAAAATTCTTAGCACGTAATTTCGTTTGGACATTGCGGTTGTTGGCAGTGTTTTCTCCTAAGCTACTTAGTAAAATGTTGATGTTTAAACGTTTTTTTTTGTGATTAGACTTTAGGTCTGTATAGAGAAGTTTCCTGCGGAAATTTCTATACAATTGTATAACATTATAGAACAGTGATGGTAGCACCTTAATCCATCTGGAAGTATTTGATACAATTTTAATTTGGAGGAACGTCAGAGTATAGCATAGGGATATGTAGGTAGTTTTGGAAACTTTTTACTTATGTATACAAAAAGTATTAAATTATACTATATTTGGTAAAATTTGGATTTGGGTCAACCGATAGAGCTGGAACACTGTAAGTTGGAAATAAGATTATTGTTGGAGTGTTGGTACTGAATTTGATACAATTTTCATTTAGGTAAAACGATGGAGCTGGAATCCTGAAATACGGAATAAAGATTGCTCTTGGAGTGTAGAATTGAGATATGTAGATAGTTCAAGAGATTTTTACTTATGTGTACAACATTTGGTATAATTTGAATTTTGGTTGAGGTGTTTCTGTTTCGGTCAGGAATGTAATGTAGTGTTCGGATGTGGAACTAGTTTTGTAAAAAACATATGATAAAACCAGTGAGCGGAGCAGTATAGTCGGACGCTGCCGACCATACGATACCCTACACAACTTCCATGAAAATCTAACTTTCTCTTGTTCTGTATTCTGAGATTGGGCAATATTTCGCGATATTTGCACACTTTTGGCTGGCTAGAGGTCAGCAAATGTTACTAATAATCAGAACACCCCCTCTAATTACTTGTCCAGATTCTCTTCACCGTGGGGTTTGTTGTGATGTTCGGCTTTCGACTCGAAAAGTACAAATAATTAAGTTTTCGGCCCACTTCATCCGAAAAATTATTACCTGATCATCACCTAAAATTTTAGGCGTAGTCCTTGGCAATAACTGGAACCTCATGGAACATCTCGAAGCGATCAGCGCTATAGTTCCGCCCTCCAGTGTGGTAAATAGGTTACTAAATAATATATGAATACGTAAGCACCTGTAAATATTTAAGTGCAACTCCCGCATCCGAGTACCTACGACAATATAATTGGTATCAATTTAAAGGTCAACCACTCCTCTTGGATATACTATTAACTTCTCGGGTCTATGTCCTTCAGTTGTATATATATATACACTATAGAATACAAATTTTGTCATTTTTCACATAAAAGTCAGGTTCCATTTGACACGCTAAATATAGACCGATCTTTATAAAAACAGGCATACTTATTCTTTGGCTCGATCCCCTTCTCCTTGCAAAAATTCGCGGTGTTTGGACCATAATTGCGGGCTCTGGAGCGACCAGAAAAATAAAGTTTTTAGTGCATTTCATCCCCTAACTATTAACCGATCTTTTCCAAAGACAATAGGGGTCTTCATTGGCCAGAACCCATCCTACATGCAAAATTTCGTGAAGATTGGTCCATAACTGTGGCCTGTACCGTGTTTGCAAATTATAATGGACAGACGGACGGACGAACACACATGTCTAGATCGACTCAGCTAGTCGAGATATGACGATCGGCACACTTAAAGGTGGGTCTAGGACCAATATTTCGCGGCGTTACAAACTTTTGGGGCTGCACAAAGCTTTAATAGCCTGACAACATAGTTGTATAGGTTATAAAAAACAAAGCTACTAATTGATACTGAGATGTTCTATATTGGTGTGAATTTTTGTTAGCTCTTTTGACATATATAATTTTTATTTTTTTTCGGCCCACTTCATCCGAAAAATTATTACCTGATCATCACCTAAAATTTTAGGCGTAGTCCTTGGCAATAACTGGAACCTCATGGAACATCTCGAAGCGATCAGCGCTATAGTTCCGCCCTCCAGTGTGGTAAATAGGTTACTAAATAATATATGAATACGTAAGCACCTGTAAATATTTAAGTGCAACTCCCGCATCCGAGTACCTACGACAATATAATTGGTATCAATTTAAAGGTCAACCACTCCTCTTGGATATACTATTAACTTCTCGGGTCTATGTCCTTCAGTTGTATATATATATACACTATAGAATACAAATTTTGTCATTTTTCACATAAAAGTCAGGTTCCATTTGACACGCTAAATATAGACCGATCTTTATAAAAACAGGCATACGTATTCTTTGGCTCGATCCCCTTCTCCATGCAAAAATTCGCGGTGTTTGGACCATAATTGCGGGCTCTGGAGCGACCAGAAAAATAAAGTTTTTAGTGCATTTCATCCCCTAACTATTAACCGATCTTTTCCAAAGACAATAGGGGTCTTCATTGGCCAGAACCCATCCTACATGCAAAATTTCGTGAAGATTGGTCCATAACTGTGGCCTGTACCGTGTTTGCAAATTATAATGGACAGACGGACGGACGAACACACATGTCTAGATCGACTCAGCTAGTCGAGATATGACGATCGGCACACTTAAAGGTGGGTCTAGGACCAATATTTCGCGGCGTTACAAACTTTTGGGGCTGCACAAAGCTTTAATAGCCTGACAACATAGTTGTATAGGTTATAAAAAACAAAGCTACTAATTGATACTGAGATGTTCTATATTGGTGTGAATTTTTGTTAGCTCTTTTGACATATATAATTTTTATACCCTCCACCATAGTATGGAGGGTATATTAGTTTTGCTTTCCGTTTGTAACGCACCGAAATAATCATTTCCGAACCTATAAAGTATATATATTCTTGATCAGCATAAAATTCTAATAAGTATGTCCGTCTGTTGTAATCACTCTAGCGTCTAAACGAATTGAGATAGATCCCAAAATTTTGCATAGGGTCGTCTGCAGGCAGGTGAAGTTCGAAGATGGGCTATAACACTCCACGTTTAGACACACCATACGAATTTTTAGTATTTTGGGGTTCTTGAGCGCGTTTTCAACCGAATTCGCTGAAATTTATTACATTGGGTACCGAATTTCCCTACAGAAATATCCACTTTTTATGGTAGCGCCATACAAGGGTACCCCCAATTTTCAGTTTTTGCGGGGTTTTCACCGGATTTCCACCAAATTGGCTGTAATTTTGTATTTTGAGTTCCTAATAGGTACCAAATCTCTCCACAATATATACAAATATATACAAAATAGCACCAGCAAGTAACGTATTCACTTTGTTAAAAAAATACCTTTAAATATAGCAATTTTTTTGGAAAATTGCTGATTAGAGTATTAACTACTATGTTTATTTTTTAAAACAATTAATTTTGGTCGTGAAAAAATAACAGCTGATTTGAAATTATGCTTTTTGTGGCAAAATTAACGGAATGGATCGAAATAAAAAATAGCACCACACATGTTTCTTTTTTGTTTGGTTATGATATTCCATGATAGCGGTAAAAAATTTTACAGCAAACATGATCTATTGGTTTTCTGTATTGTGTTAATCAGTTTATGCAAGCAAATTATAGTAAAAGACACATCGTTTAAAAAAAATGGGTCGTGGAAAACATTGCAGTGCTGAAAAACGAGAATTGATTCGTAAATTGATATCAGAAGGCAAATCTTATAGAGAAGTGGGTCGTTTACTTGAGTGTTCAAATAAAATGATAAGAAATGCCATACAATTTAAAGAAAAACCAGAAACACGCGGTCGAAAAAGAGTTATTTCATATTTGCTTACCAAGCGGTTATTCCGCCAAGCCAAGAAAGAACCATTTAAGCCAGCAACGGAGCTGAAAAAGGAGTTAAATATACCTGCAACAGTGCAAACAGTTCGCCATTACCTTCGAATAAATGGTTTAAAATCCTGCAGCCCCAGGAAAGTTCCACTTTTAAGTGCTAAGCATGTTGCCAAGCGTATTACTTTTGCCAAAGAACACTCAAATTGGCCATTGGAAAAATGGAGGAACATTTTATGGACAGATGAAAGTAAGATCGTGCTGTATGGGGAAAAGGTTCTCGAGCATATGTCAGACGACCACCGAATGCAGAATATGATCCAAAATATACGATGAAAACGGTTAAACATGGCGGTTCAAGTGTAATGATATGGGCATGCTTTTCGTTTTACGGGGTAGGGCCTATACATAATATTAAAACTATAATGGATCAACATGTTTATGTTGATATATTGGAAAAAATAATGTTACCGTATGCAGACTACGAAATGCCATTATCGTGGGTCTTCCAACAAGACAATGACCCCAAACATACAAGTAAGAAAGCCAAGAAATGTTTGAGGACAATCATGTACACGTTATGCAGTGGCCAGCGCAGTCGCCAGACCTTAACCCAACCGAGAATTTATGGACTGACCTAAAAGGGGAAGTAGCAGCTGCCAAACCAACAAGCACGAGTCACTTTGGAATATTGTCAAAGAGGCCTGGACAAAAATTCCGCTAAAGCGATGTCAGGATTTGGTTAACTCGATGCCTAGACGTTGCGCAGCCGTGATTGCCAATAAAGGACATGCTACTAAATATTAATATACTTGAAATTACATCAAGTCATTGTGAGAAACACAAAACAATTGATCTCATATCGTTTTCTTATTTTTAACTGGATATTTACGTGTTGGTGCTATTATTTTTTTCGCTTGAAATTTGAATTTTCTTTTATTTTTGTTTAATAAATAAAAAGTGTGAATTAAAAGAGTATATATTTTTTATTTTTATAGATTATATACATTTTACCTTTTTAATATACATTTCAAAGTTCGTCAAACTTAAAAAAAAATTGGATACACCTCTCTATATGTTGCTTGTAATAGTGGTGCTATTTTATTTTTCGCAGCTGTATATAAATATATTTATCTAGGTCCATTTTTTCCGGTAGCCCCCATATAAACGTTTCCTCTAATTGTCGGTATTTTGGGGTTCTTGAGCACGGTTTGAAACCGAATTTGCTATAATTTGTAGTCGTATATTGTAACAAATCCAACAACAAATAACAAATCCCTAACAAAATTATCATCATCATTAATATTCGCCCCCTTTTAGGGATAGTCCGCATATAACTCCCTTTTTATACCCTTCACCACACTGTGGTACAGGGTATTAGGTCCTTGTGCATATGTTTGTACCAGGCAAAAGGAAATGAGATAGACACATGGTTCCTTTTGAGAATATGCATAGAATCACTTTCTGAGTCGATTTATGCATGTCCGTCTGTCAGTCTGTCAGTCTGTCTATGTATTTTTGTGAACAAAGTACAGGTCGCATTTATGATTCGATTTGGATGAAATTTGACACATGTCATTTACTTGGCCCACGGACGAACCCTATTGAAATTGGAGAAAATCGGTTCAGATTTAGATATCGCTTCCATATATAGTTTCGTCCGATTTTAGATAAATGGTTCACTAAACTCGCAATATTTGCACGATAGAGACACCATTTTGCACAGAGTACTGAATAAGGTCTAGATTGATACAAGCCAAGGTTTGTTGAAATCGGTTCAGATTTACATATAGTTTCCTCAGATTTTATGTATATGGTGCACCATACTATCGATGTTTGTCCGATTAAGACAAAATTTTACTTATCTATGCCTAGATTGATGCATGTCAAGTTTTTAATTGGTTTTTGTGTCGAGATAAATTTTGGATAGCGCACTGTGTTGCAGCATAGCAAATTGTGGATGTCACGGTTGCCCAAATAGGTCCATTTATACATAGATCTTTAACATATTTTGCTCGATTATTGAAATTGTGAAAAATCGGTTCAGATTTAGATGTAGCTCCCATATGTATTTTCATCCGATTTAAGGTAATTGGTGCACCAAAGACCCTATATATCTTTCGATTTGCACGAATTTTGGTATAGGGTACTGAATTATGTCTAGAATGATGTTGATAAGCTTCGTGAAAAGATCCATAGCAAGCCGATTGACACAACGTACTGATGTTATATAAATTAATCTCTGGCAAGTTTCCCTGAAATCGGTTCAGATATAGATGGTGGTGAAGGGTATCATATAGTCGGCCCAGTCCGACTTTACTACTTTCCTTACTGGTTAATATTAGCTTCGAAATTGAGCTATATCGATCCTTAATTAGGCATAACCCTTCATATTATAATTTTGAGTATTTTAAAGGCTCTAGTCTCACTTATCTGTAATATTAATCACAATTTATCGCAGATAATTATCTGTAATCCTCAAATAAAAATCAAACCCATTTACCTTATTCTGAAGGTTATATTCGTTTTTCATGCCAAGCTGGCTGTATGTCGCTGTGATAGACGATAAAAACCTTCCTTCACAGAAAATTTTCAATTTAGGCCACGTTTGACTGCTGATATTATACATTTATATTCATATACTATTTAAAGTAAAAAATATTAAAAAAAATAATCAAAATTGAATATACCTCCAAGTCAAAGTCTGCAAAAAATCCCATCCTTGTTGAATATAACAGTATTTATACTTGATTTGCTGCTCTCCTTTGCCTGTTCCAAAACCATTTTTCATTTCAGAAATTTACAGTGATATTCAGTTGCTGTTCATTATGTGAATACATTTTTTTGTTTTCTTGCTGCGAAATATTCTGTGCCACAAAAAACAATCTGTGTATCATAAATTATTTACGGCCTATGTGTTTTCTGTCGCATACATTGGTACTACCAATGAATGACGAATGTAAAGGAAGAAACGGAAAAGAACAATTTTGTAGCAAGACTAATATTATTTGAAGAACTTGCACAACATTTTTCATTTACCAGCGAACATTCGTACAATTGTTTGTTCCTGGTCCGTGGTGATGGATAAAGTTACTTCAATACATATTAGCTGCAGAGCCATAATGGCAATGGTAAGGGCTGTTGTGGGCCTTGTTAATAAAATCTGTTGCCGTTCATCTAACATTTGTCCCTTGAGGCGGAGGTGGGTGGTGTTGGGAAATGTTAGTGCATTTAGAAAATTTACCATGCAAAAGGCGTTTCTTTCGCCTGTAATCAAACAAACAATCGTAACGTATTTTCCATTTGAGGCCTACACATAAATGGGGATTGTTTTATTTAAAAATGCTATAGGATATAAAGAGGAATAACTAAGTTTATCGCCATGGTAAAGGGAATATTTAGTTTTCCCCTTTGTAAAATTGTTTTAAGGGTTGTAAAAAAATAATAAGGATACGTATGTGTGTAATATGTGAAAGAAAAAAATAAATATTTGAAAATGGTGTAGCTTACTTCCTGGCAATTTCAAAGAAATCCTAACTTTTTAGCTGGCACACACATTAACACAAGTGTCCTTTTACTGAATCTAAATCAATTCAATTACGTGATATTAAAACTTTTGTGGCATGTCAAGAGTTCCCCTGCTCTTCTATATTCTTCAATATTTTTTTAACTTCCATAAGTGGAATGTTTTCAGGTTCAAGTATATTTTTCATTGGGAAATTTCACCGAAAATGTTGGTTTATTTATATGTAATATGGAATGGAACAAATTCGGGCCCTGCAACACTGCGACCAGGTTTGTCCATTCGCCGTCGCTCTTTGGAACCAGGTATACGACTAATGGCATTACAATGTATTTGGGATAGAGATGGCTTTCAGATTTCAGTTACCACAGAACTTATATAGCGTTTGGTTTTTATTAGGTGCACAATTGGTCAAAAATATTTATGGAAGCTATACCTAAATCTGAACCAAACTAAACATAAAACGTCTCTTTTTAGGCTCAATTAGCTACGCTGTGTAAATTATCGTTTTATAATCAATACGGTACGCAATACAAAATTTTGTTTGTATCGGATAAATCTTGGGAATATCATTTACAAAACTTACCAAAACTTCGTCTCAATCGGACAAGCCTTGGGAGTTTGGTGTATCATTTACATAAAATCAAAAGAAAATATATTTGGGAGCTATATCTGATCCGGTTTCAATGAAACTTAACACAGAGTATGTTAAGTTTCATTGAATTCTATACATTATGCCTAATTTTGCTTGTGAAGGACATACCGTGCGAGGGTTCGTCCTTGGGCCAAATAAGTGATCTCAGCCAAACTTCATTCAATTGGGATAATAAATGCGATCTTTACTTTGTTTGTAATGGGTTAACTTGTACAGATAGACGGAAGGATATTGTATAGAGCAACTTCGTGTATTGTTATGTAATTTCGCATATCAAGTTTGTAGACGATAGAATACCTCCTCGCATATTCAATGCACCCATGTTTCGAACTCGTCCTCTTGAAAAGGCCCCAAATTTTATATTGGATCCCACTTTACCCGACTTTGAATTTTTATACCTTTCACCACACTGTGGTACAGGGTATTACGTCTTTGTGCATATGTTTGCAACAGGCAAAAGGAAACGAGATAGACACATGGTTCCTTTTGAGAATATGCATAGAATCATATTTAAGTCGATTTATGCATGTCCGTCTGTCCATGTTAAATTGTTAACAAATACAGGTCGCATTTTTGATTCGAATTGGATGACATTTAGCACAGCTTCTTTATTCGGTCCAAGGACGAACCCTATTGAAATTGGGAAAAATTGGTTCAGATTTAGATATAGCTCTCATATATATTTTCGTCAGATTTTAGATAAATAGTGCACCAAAGTCCCTATATATCCTTCGATTTGTACGAAATTTATCATAGCGTAATGAATAAGGCCTATATGTGTGTTAAGTTTCGGCACAGATTTAGATATAGCTCCCATATATATTTTCGTTCGATTAAATGTAAATGGTGCTATATATCCTTCGATTTCGAAAAATTTCGATTTGCGAAATTTGGCACAGCGTACTGAATTAAATCTAAAATGATGGGTGTTAAGTTTCCTGATTTAGATATAGCTCCCATATACATTTTCGTCCGATTTTATGTAAATGGTGTACAAAGTTCCTATATATCTTTCGATTTGCACGAAATGTGACACAGCGTACTGAATTAGGTCTAGTACGATGTTATGTAAATGGTGTACCAAAGTCCATATATATCTTGCGATTTGCACGAAATTTGGCACAGCGTACTGAATTAGGTCTAGAATGATGTGGGTTATATTTCCTGAAAATCGGTCCAGATTTAGATATAGTTCCCATATATATTTTCGTCCGAGATATAAATGGTTCACCAAAGATCCCAAGGTAGGCCGATTGACAAAAAATTTGGCACAGCGTACTGTAGTAGATACAACCTAGCTTGAAGCAACCCTGTATCTGACCAAATAAAAATTATAGTATAGGTTGCAGAATTACATGTTTGTGGATCCATTTTCATGTTAACGGTCCTTCAAAATTTCGACGTCTGTTAGGATTCATCCGTTGAATATACCCACAGTGGTGAAGGGTATCATATAGTCGGCC